ATAGTTTGACACATAGTTTGGCTATGTTTTATGTATATGATATGAAGTTACAAACCATCCTGCTGCCTGGATAAATCAGGTGTTCCCTTGGGTGACACACGAGGTGTTCCTGCGTTGGAATGAGCATAACCAGGATTCAGTTCAGAGACAACTGGCTGAAGTGTAGTGCCACTGGAAACTTGTGTAGACTCATGGTTGTATTTTCCACTTTCTGTGATGGAAACATTTGGGAACATTAAATAATGTATGTTTCTAGTTAAAGTATACATCAATGGCAAGCCTTACATCTCAACATTATCAATATTGCATCATGCCTGCTGTTTGCAACTATGCATACACTTCAATGAGGAATCAGGTTACACAGGGACTCCACCTTTGTAGTATAAAATTAGATTTGAGAGATACAAAACAAGTGAAAATGTAACAAAGTGCACTCATCATCTAAGATGGCCACATATCATTAATGGATCACACTAAGGCTATCATACAGTGTTTTAAATTTACGGTGTTGAATAATTATTTAGGACTCAGAATTGCAAGGGAAAATTAATGATAGCGTAATGTATTCAGTATCTCTTCATAGCTTTGACTTGGCACCTTACATGTTAATCAGAAGCTATTGAATTCTTACGTGTTGGAGTTGTCAGATTACAGTTGTCAAGCTGAGGGTCTGCACGTCCATTTATGTGAATCATTGGTTGGGCCTCATGCTGCTTAATACCCTGCTCAGGATTGGTGTCCACTGACGGGTTATTTTGACCTGCATTTCTTCTTTTAAGTAATACTGCAACAAGTAAAATTACTACACCAACAAGTGCACCAATACAAATATACAGGATGTAAATTGGCCTAAATTTTCCTGAATCTCCAGTATTGCTGCTAATTGAAGGTTTTATGGTAGGACCACAGTTTGTATCCATTCGCAGGCTGCAGTGTTTTTTTTCAAGGCCATGTCTTACACATTCTGTTTGTATCTCATCTTTTCCATCAGAACAACAATGAGAACACTCATGACATGCATGCGATGCATCCTGAGCATTATAGTAATAACCATATTCACAAGTTCCACTGCATTTGGTGTTTGTATCACTTGTGCAGGAAGTTTTTACAATCTCATGTTGTGCACAGTGCTGACACATATAACAAGGAGAAGAGTCATAAGTGTCAGAATATGTTATTCCATCATGGCAACGCTGGCAATAAGTTTCATTCACAGGGCTTATAACAGTACTTCCACATTTTGGTTCCAGCCCCCATCCCTCATTGCAGACTCCACAAGGCTGACATTTTTCAAAGTTTCCATCAGCACTTTTAACAGTGTATTGCTTTCCATGACATATTTTATTACTTTCACAGAACTCTCCCTAACAGAGCAAAAAGAGCATAATCAAATTAAATGGGTTTAAAAAATAAAACTATAAACTGTTGCCCACAATTTGTTTCACTCAGAGATTGATGGGTAGGATGCGAGGAAAAATAATTTTCACTCTTCTAAGTCACAAGATTTTCACACTTCTAAGGCACAAGATTTTTCTTTACTGGGAGTTCCAGGACCTTTCATAGAGGACCTAGTAATTTAATAACATTCACCAAGATCTCTCAAGGTGTCTCAAACAGCTCAAACATATTTTTGTATCCTATTTTCTCTCTTGAGTATGAGGTTCAAACGAAATTACATTGATCATCTACTCTTAGAATTTTCTTTCTGAGTTCAGGAAACAAGTAGGCCTTTCTAATCTCAGAGGGATGTAAAGATATGTCCAAACATGTCTGGTAGTAACAGAACTGATATGATAGGAAAAGCCTCTAGCTAGGTGAACACAACCATCCTTCAGTTAATATGTGTTTTCTCCTTCCCCTTTCCAAACGGCAATTTTTCCTTTCACAGACTTCATTCGAACTATAGTTTACATACTACGAATGTAGTTGAAACACGTCAGCTCAACGTACAAAATAACTGTTAGCGTGTTTGTTGATTACTCAGCAGGTCACGCTTTAATTACTAGACTAAACTGACAGGCACGGAAATAATTTTACTAACTTGCAAACAAACGCCGAAGATCAATAAACAAATCGATAACGTCGCTTGCATATCTTTTCTTGGATAATTCCTCGTGTAGCTGGGTTGCTAAAGAGAGAACGAGAAAGAGCGAAAGGAAACAATTTTGGATCGCAACATTATGTTATATAACTATAGAAATATCAATTACCTTTCATTGACGAGCCGATTAACATGCAGAAGCGAAAAGGCTCGATCACTCCGTAGAGTGGTTGGAGATGGTTGTTACGAACTGATACACCACGCTGAATTCCCTCCCTAAACTACAGCGCTTATTCTTACACTTAAAATAAAATAGTAGCATTTAGCAAGTGAAATGTTAGTTATAGATGATATGGTGAAAGAACCATCAGAGTACTTGTCGAAACACACCGAACAATAAGATCTCACCAGCAAACGTACGTCAGCATTAATCATTAATCAACTATCTTCACAACTCCATTCCCAATGAAATTTTCCAAAAATACAGAATGGATTACACGAGTGGCGAAAGGAGCAGCCCTCTAACCTTGGAAAACTCCAATAAAGCGTAACGTCTTTTAGAGGAGGACAACAGTGCTAAAAATAGAAATAAACTTACTTAATGACGTCATAGCACGGAAGAGCACAAGCGTCAATGCTAGCCGGCTGGGCCAATATCAAGACGCATTCTTACACTCGTAAAAGCTCAAAATACAAGGGAACTCTTAAAATGGAGAACTAAAAAGGAGAAAAATGAACGAGAATAAAACAAATTTGCGGAGCCCTATTAAACTTTACTAAGGCAAAATATTACCAACTTTGGAGTTGTCACGTAACAGTGTCGACAGACGTTTACAAGGTTGCCTTGGCGGGCGATTTTCATGACACAGTCTAAACACCCTCTAAATGGACCCAATTATCTGTCCTAGAACAACATCCGGCTCAGAGTGAGTCAAGATAACGTAACTCTTTGGTTATGCTGGGATAAAACAGCTAAACCAAAGCTAAGGAACTGGTCATTATTTATTTAGAGGTTAGAGGGAGGGGGGGAATGGAAAAATATGAAAATATGTTGGAAAGATCAAAATTTCTATAAGACCCCCCCCCCATGAGCGTTGCGTTGTGGTTTCTTGTTGGCTAAACCTCGGACCCTTATCGTAATAGGTTGTCAGGTCTAAATTTAGCTTATCTTGATGGCTAAAATATATATCAGAGTAGATTTGAAACAAGAGCCACAAACTTGTTCAAAGAGTTGAATACTGTTAAAGAAACAAACCATGTGTAAATAGGAATCAAGAGAGTAAAAAACATTTTCTATGAATTTTATTCCTCGGGTGTTCATATCTTTACTCCAATTCAACACGATCAGTGTTAGAAAATCTTTGAAGGTCAAATTTTATTCCTTTTCTTTGACCACTCTTAATGACTCAATGTCTCTGACTGATCCTTAGTAGTATTGTCTAACTCTGATTGACTGACAATGAATCCTACACTACACTTCCTTTCATTCGCTTCCAATAGGCATGAGCGAGCATGCGAGCCAACTGATCTCAGAGGATTATACGTTTGATATCGGAACTTTGACCCTACCACTTTCACAAGGATCTCACGAATAAACAACAACACGCTTACCAAAACTCAATTTTTGTTATAAAAGCCAAAATAAGAACTTTAGTATAGGTCCAAGGCAAACCTAAGCATTTCCATTAAGGAAGTTACACAAGAAGGTTAAAATCAGAAATCTCATTGTCATAATTAAAAACCCTGATAATTTGGATTTTAAATTCAAATCTAAACGACATGTATGGATTCATTTAAATAAATAACTCAATCATACGTAACTTACTAGGTGCTTCACGAAATGTTACAATTCAACGTTATTTCCTTTCTTACTTATTCACTTTCTTACTTACGCACCACTTTCGGTATTCACTTATTCATTAACTTATACATGTACTCGCTTGCCAGGCGGATTTTGAACTGAGCGTCAAAAGCGCTTCTAAGGCGGATAGTTTTGGTTTTGCTCTCCTTTACGGTATATTTGGTTATAACTAACACCTGGCGCTAGACAATTAAATTCAAAACCTAAAATCAACCAAGACTTGAGTTGGTCTGCGTGCGTTTTCCCAAGCTTAAAGACGGTTCATAAGACAGACATTTTCCCTGAGTTTTCATTAGCTCCTTGGAATATTCTGATTGGCCTTTGGAGTGATTACATGCATTTTTTCATATAGTCCTCGAAGCGCATTTTCAAAAGGCTCCTTAGTACGCCACAAAATAGGTCCTACTGATCTGCAAATTTTAAGTGTGCACCCAAAGAAACAAGAAATTCAGAACATGTTCGAGGAGGATTTTACTGTTTTTAAAATTAAAATATATTTTGAGATTTAGCTTTTAAACTAGACTTCACTTTCAGTAATTGTAAGATGGTTCTCCAAGATCTTTGCGATATCAAAACGCCTCATTTTGTCGTCCTTTAACTGTTTAAAAACTGTGTAAACTGTTATGTCTGGTTTGGTTGCCTTCAAAAATTCGATGACCTCTTGTCCAGGGGACTTGCATGTTTCAAGTGCTCCAATCATGTCGCTCGTCATGCCAAACACAGCGGCCGCCTGTCTGTAACCTCCAAGACCAGGTAGCAAATCTTTATTCAGATAGAGAGCTACGCTATCACAAGTTGACAGGTCTACTTCTATAAACTTTTTTAGTCCTATGAGGTAAAAGAGACATCTAAGTAAATAATCAAAGTTGTTTAATGTGTTGCACGACGACAAAAAAAAAAAAAAAAATAAATTGCATGCATCTGAGTCAGCGCACCTTTTTGAGCTATTTTTAGCATATTAGATCCAGTCTTTCAAAAAGATTCATATTTCGTTGTGTGTGAGAGTTTTAAGACTGAAGGCTTGTATTTAATTTATAAACAATGACTCTGTCGCAAATAAGACTGGTTTTGTTAACATGTTCGATTAGGTTTTTACCTCGAGAGGTTTACCATAGCTAGTATAAGGCACGTGCAGGCTATTTTCACATAAAGGATTTAAGGCATTAAGGTTCTATCACACTTTGAGCAGTTCTTACTTGTTGCATTCTGAACTTTGGGGACAACATCCAGCCATGCCCGTGATGACTCGCAGTTGATTCCAAAATTTTCTCGAGGGCAAACTCGACATTTGTAGCAGCCAAATTCACGGAGCTCAACGTTATCAAGGATGAGGATGGCATCGCATTTTCCCTCCAGTTCGGCTCCATCTTTCAGCCACTGATAGGAATATTTATCCTGCTCCTGCACCTTCAACTCGAAAATTACTTCTGAACCTTCCGGTTGTTTTTTAGATTTGGGCTGCTGCTCGATCTTTATTCCGCTCTGCTAGGGTAAATGTCAAAGCTTTAGTTACTGATTTGTTGATTTGTTAAGTGCTGCTACTCTAACTGACTGGCAAATTTGTCCGTCACGTTATAAAACTTCCGATATAGAATCCTCATGACGATGAGGATTCTAATACGTCAACCAATACGTGAATTTAAGTGTTCTTTTGGGCAAAATGAGACATGGAGTTCCAAAGAAGTTCTTCGATAATAGTTTTGGCGAAGAGCATTGGTGAAAAGACTAAACAAGCTGCGCCTCTTCACTCATGATACTTTGAATTTACTGGGGGAAGTTTTTTTGTTCTTTTATACAAGGGGGATACTTGTCTAGGTTAATTTGTGATTAAGAGACTCGCCAACTGTACTCTTGAATGAAAATAAATTTTCTTTTTCCCTGACATGAACGAACACTAGAAAACACTGGAAGTAACTTTCAGAGAACTGAAGTTTAAAAATGTTGTATATTTTTTGTATAGAAGTCCACGAAGGCTTGTCATATTACGTTGGGTAGGTCCCTAATGTCTATTTCATGTTGTAGTGAAGATGGACTTTGAGCAAAGCGAAATGGTAAAAGTTGTCCTGAAAATAACAAGAAGAACTGTTAGAAAATGAGTATTTATCTTATTTTAAAACAACACCATTTAATCAGAACCTCTCCTTTTTATTAAAATTTTTTTGTTAAGTTCAATTCAAGATATAGCTTTTGTTTTCATTAATAATCATTTTATAAGCATATCCGACGATATTCTAATTACAACACTGCAAGCATAGACTGATATTCCTTTGGCTTTTACACGGAGACAATTAAATATTTGTTAGTCGCCAGCTGACATGTCCCCATAGGAAAACTGTGAACAAGGGGGTAACATCCGAGAAAGAGAGCGCTCCATGTAAATACTTCTAGTTTGAGAACTAAGCCCCAAAATTTGAGGTGAAAAGTTGCGATTACCTTCATAGTTTTTCAGACGCTCGATTACGTTGGGTAGGTCCCTAATATCCATTTCATATGATAGTAAAGGCAGACTTTGAGCAGGGCGTGATGGTGAAAGTTGTCCTGAAAATAACAAGAAGAACTGTTGGAAAATTAGTATTTATCTTATTTTAAAACAACACAATTTTGATCAATCAGAACCTCTCCTTTTTATTATAAATTTTTTGTCGGGTTCAATTCAAGATATGGCTTTTGTTTTCATCAATAAGCATTTTATAAGCATATCCGACGATATTCTAATTACAATACTGCAAGCATAGACTGATATTCCTTTGGGGGACAAATAAGTATTTGTTAGTTGCCGGCTGACATGTTCCCATAGGAAAACTGTGAACAAGGGGTAACATCCGAGAAAGAGAGCGCTCCATGTAAATCCTTCTATTTTGAGAACTAAGCCCCAAATTTTGAGGTGAAAAGTTGCGATTACCTACATAGTAGCCAGTTTTTCGGGCGCTCGAAGGGAGGCTGCGCAAAACAGCCGTCTACATAGGGCATTATTGCATGCGTCTTCACCTTGGCAAATTAAAAATTTCAGGTACTATGTTTGCCAGCGTGAACGATCGATCTTGCTCAACGTTAGATCAGACGTGATCAGTTAAAACTGAATCCGTAGAAAAGTCAAACTGCTCGGTCATAAATCTAACTTTGTACTGATACTTCTGACGTTTATTTACATTCTTTTACCTGTGCACTGTGATGGATCATGGTATACCTAAAGGAAGGAACATTTCAATTTAGAAGTGGAATTATTGTCGTTGCATTCCTATGCATATGAAGAAAACATATCAGAATAATCTTTTAAAATAGTTTTTCTTACC